TTTTTATAGTGTGTGTGTGTGTGTGTGTGTGTGTGTGTGTGCACGTGTGTGCACGTGTGTGCAGGACTTGAACTTGGAGCCCTGCACTCTAGCTCAAAGCAGGCACTCTACCACTTGAGCCATACCACCACTTCTGGCTTTTTTCTGGTTAATTGGAGATAGGATATTCACAGACTTTTCTGCCTGAGCTGGTTTCTAAACTGTGTTCCTCCAATCTCAGCCTTCTGAGTAGCTAGGATTACAGGCATGAGCCACAGCTCCTAGAGTGGCTTGTTTTTTGTTTGTTTTCTTTTTGTATTAATACTGGGGCTTGAACTCAAGGCCAGAGTGCTGTCCCTTAGCTTTTTTCCTTAAGGCCGGTACTATACCATTTGTGCCACAGCTCCACTTGTAGCTTTTTGCTAATTAATTGGAGAGAAGAATCTCATGGTCTTTTCTGCCTGGGCTAGCTCTGAACCAGAATTCTTAGATCTTAATCTACTGAGCAGCTAGAATTACAGCTGTGCACCACTGGCACTTGCTTCTTCTATTTCTTCTTATATGTATTTATTTTGAAGATTAACTTGCAAACTAAGCACAGTAAGGTTAACAATAATAATTAAATAGAATGGGACTGGAGTCATGACCCAAATGGTAAAGCAACAGCCCAGTAACCAAGCTGAGCAAGTGCAAACTCCAGTACCACCACAGAATTAATAATAATAGAATGGTGTCAGATGCCAGTAGCTCAGACCTGTAATCCTAGCCACTCAGAAGGCTGAGACCTGAGAATCATGATCTGAAGCCAACTTGGGCAGGAAGGTCCATGAAACTCTCAACCACAAAAAGCTGGGAGTGGAGCTATAGGTCAAGTGGTAGAATGCTAGGAAGCACAAAGTTCGGGGACAGTACCCAGTCTCAGAGCTCAAGCCCCAGAACTGGCAAAAATCAATAAATAAAAATAGGATGATTATCACAATATACTGTAATATAAGGCTAGGATTTGGCTTAGTGGGTAGAGCTCAAGACCCTGGGTTCCATTTGTAGCAGGAGCGCACATGCCCACACACACACACACACACACACACACACACACACACACACACACACACACACACACACACACACACACACACACACTGTGACTGCGGTATCTCTCTTCTTTCTTCTCTATCTTTTTGCACACAGCACTCACCTTGTGATGAGCGATGATGTAATGTCCTAGCGATGAGAAGAGGTCAGGGGAGTGCCTTGGGCCTACATGCGGTGTGAAGTGGCTACAACCTAGGGGTGCTGTGAAGGCCAGCTCCGATACCAGGACAGTTGATCTGATAACCGAGGTAGCTCCTCTGTGACTAATGGGCAGGCCGCGTGGGACATATATAGTATGGAAACCCTGGATCAAGAAAGAGATGAGTCACATCCAGGGTGGGACGGAACAGAACCACGGCAGACTTGATCACACTGCTCAGACCCTGTGCCTAATTTAAAACTTAGGGACTGCTCAGTTTCTGGGACTTTCCATGGTATATTTTTGGATCACAGTGGACTCTGAGGTCACTGAAACCATGGAGAGCAAAACTTGCAGATAAGCAGGGCCCACTGGAGCTGTAACTTAAGGAACAGTCTGTTCTACCATGTCGCTTCTGTTAATAGTGTCCATTTTCCACATGAAAAATCTGAGCCAGAGGTCCAGGTCTGCCTAGGACCAACAGAAGTGCTGTTGAAGGCACTTAAACACTCAGGCTCTTCTTAATCACTCTTTTTAGCTATTTTTGTTGGTTTTGTTTTGGTTAGTACTGGTCCTGGGGCTTGAACTCAGGGCTTAGGCACTGTCCCTGAGCTTTTCTGGCTCAAGGCTAGCGCTCTACCGCTTGAGCTACAGGCTCCACTTTTTTTTTTGGTAGTTAAAAGAGTCTGATGGCTACTCAGGAGGCTAAGATCTGAGGATCGTGGTTCAAAGCCAGCCTGGACAGGAAGTCCATGAGACTCATCTCCAATTAACTACCAAAAAACCAGAAGTGGCACTGTGGCTCAAGAGGTAGAGTGTTTGCCTTGAGCTGAAGAGTTCAGGGACAGTACCCAAGCCCAGAGTAAAAGCCAAATGACTACCAGTACCACCATCACCACTACCACCAATGAAAGAGTCTGATGGACTTTGCTACCCTGGCTGGCTTCTAACTGGGGACCTCAGATCTCAGCCTCATAAGTAGCTAAGATTACAGGTGTGAGCCATGGGTGTACAGCTTACTTTGTAGTATTTGGCGGATCATAGCTTTTTATAAAAAGTTTTTTTGTGGTTTTGTTCTTACAAAAGTAAAAGTGCCTGAAACACAAGAGTATAGCCTGATTCTTTATGCAGATGAACACATCTAACCCAAGAAACAAAACAAGATCTGCCCTAGAAGTACCTCCTGCTACCTCTAACCTTCCCTGCAAAGGTTCATCAGTGGGCCGCAGCTTTGCCTGCTGGTGAACTTTGCAATGTCTGCTGGCACATGGTGTCTGGCTTCTGCTCAACTCTCTGTGGTTCTATGCATCTGGACCTGGTTCGCCCTGACTCCAGCATCCTGCCTCATCAGCGTACCACAACTATGCATCCAGTCTACTGCTGATGTTTTGCTTAGGTAGTTTCCAGTTTGTTACAAAGAGTGCTGCCGGTGACAAGTTCTTGTAGACATCTTTTTGCTGGACATGCATGCTTTTTAATTTAATTTCATTTTATTTTTGCAGTGCTGGCGCTCCCACAGAACTATACCACAAACCTCATTCAGGGTTGAGTTGAGTGGACTGCTGTAAGTGGAAAGGCTAGATCAGAACTTCGCCTGCTTTCCCCCTGACACCCCCCCAACCCTTGCTTTTTGCAGATTTTTTTTGGGGGGGGTCCGGTCATCGGCCTGAACTCTGGGCCTGGGCGCTGTCCCTCAGCTCTTCAGCTCAAGGCTAGCACTCTACCACTTGAACCACAGCACCACTTCCGGCTTCTTTCTTTCTGCTTATGTGGTGCTGAGGAATCGAACCAGGGCCTCATGCATGCAAGGCAAGTGCTCTACCACTGAGCTACCTTCCCAGCCCCTTTTGCAGGTTTTATAATTAGAGAAATGAACTGTGAGACGGACTTGCTTGCACTTCCATAGACTGATTAGAGTTTAAAACACACACTTACCAAGTGCTGGTGGCTCATGCTTGTAATCCTAGTGACTCAGGAGGCTGAGATCTGAGGATCCTGGTTCAAAGCCAAGTCCAGGCAGGTAAATACATGAGACTATTGTCTCCAGTTAACCACCAAAAGGCTGAAAGTGGAGCTGTGGTTCAAATGATAGAGCACCAGTCTTGCACGAAAAAGCTAAGGGACAGCACCAAGGCCCTAAATTCAAGCCCCTATATCAGCACAAATAAAGTAAAACTGTTAGGTACCAGTGGCTCATACCTGTTATTGCTGAGATCTGATGATTGCAGTTCAAAGCTATCCCAGCCAAGAAAGCCCATGAGACTTTTTTTTTGCCAGCCCTGGGACTTGAACTCAGGACCTGGGCACTGTCCCTGAGCTTCTTCTTTGTTCAAGGTTAGCACTCTACCACTTGAGCCACAGTACCACTTTTGTTTACGTGGTACTGAGGTATTGAAACCAGGGCTTCATGCATGCTTAGGCAAGCACTCTACCACTAAGCCACATACCCAGCCCCCATGAGACTCTTACCTCCAATTAACCACCAGAAAACAGGAAGTATGGGGCCTGTAGGGCCCAGCCCCGGAGCTCAAGCCCCATGACCAACAAAAATAAAATAGAACTTGCACTCGGACACAGAAAGATGTACACACTCACATCCTTGTGGGAGTGGGGAGGCAGGGGGCAAGTGTTTTTGTACAATGGAAAGCGCTCTGATTTGTGGAGTGTTTTCCCTAGCCAGGGCTCACTCATCGATGCCACACAGCTTCTAAAGAACACAGACATGAATTCCTTGGTGGAGGATTTATTCTACTGCCACAAATCTTCTCTCGCAGAGTCCGTTGCTTTTTCTCTAAAAGGAAGAGATTGGCTTCCACACATCCATTAAAGCCATCTATCTTCCTTGCTTGTGACAAGGTTTTATGACTTGGTTAAAGATCTTTCAGAAAGAAGAGGGGAATGATTCCCCTCTTGCAAGTCCCCTGAGCCCTGGGTGGGAAACTTCAGTCAAGAGAAATAAAGGGGGCTCTGACTGTGTTGCCCGCCACTGTGCCAATATGCCCCCCCTCACTAAAACCACAGAACACTTCTGGGAGAAAAGTGGTGTCACCCCAATTTACCGATGGGGCAGAGGGCCCAGGGGGCGGGGGAAGGATTTGTCGATATCCCCTAGGAGGAATTGTTGGGTGAAGAATGTCTTGGTATAATTTTTGTTGTTGTTGGTGGTGGTGGGGCTTGCACTCTGGGCCTAGGTGTAATCCCTGAGCTCTTAAGCTCAAGGTGAGCACTCTACCTCTTGAGCCGCAGCACCACTTCTGGTTTTTTGAATGGTTAATTGGAAATAAGAGTCTCAAGGACTTTCCTGCCTGGGCTGGCTTTGAACTGTGATCCTCAAATCTCAAGTTCCTGAGTAGCTAGGATTACAGGCGTGAGCCACCAGCGCCTGGCTTTCTTGGTATAATTTCTTAGGAGCTGTTGGGTCTGTTTGGACTAGCCTTGAGCTAAAGAGCTGAGGGACAGGGACTGGGAAGGTGGCTCAGTGGTAGAGCGCTTGCTTTGCATGCATGAGGCCCTGGGTTCGATTCCTCAGCACCACATAAGCAAAAAGAAAAAAAGCCGGAAGTGGCGCTGTGGCTCAAGTGGTAGAGCGCTCGCCTTGAGCTGAAGAGCTGAGGGACAGCGCCCAGGCCCGGAGTTCAGGCCCCACGACCGGACCCAAAAAAATTAAAAATTAAAAATAAAAGAGTTGAGGGACAGTGCCCAGGCCCAGAGTTCAAGCCCCATGACCAATCACAACAACAACAACAAAAGAATTGCTAGAAATGAATTTTTTTTTTTTTTTGCGTAACAGGTCGTCACTCATGGACATCTAAAAATGGGAAGGAAGACTCTTCTCTCCCCTGGCAGGTAGAATCTCTCTCTCTCTCCCCCCCCTCTGTATCTTCCTTGTTTTTTGCAGATCTCAACAGACCGATTTTCTTTGTTTACAGATACATAATCTGCCACAAAATCTGGTGTGTATGTGGGTGTGATCCTCAGATCTTAGCCTCTTGAGTAGTTAGGATTACAGGTCTGAGCCACCGGCACCCAGCTCACTTGTCTTTGTCATTCAAGGTGGTGCTCTACCACTTGAGCCACACTTCCACATCCAGACTTTTGCTGAGTACTTGGAGATAAGACTCTCACTGACATTGGTCTGGCCTGGCTTCTAACTGAGATCCTCATATCTCAGCTTCCTGAGTAGCTAGGATTCCAGGTATGAACCACCACCACCAGCCCTGGTTCTGGAGGGTTTGTGAAGTTGCTACCACTGTGTCATTTGAGGGGAGCAGGAGCAAGTGGGCCACTGTTGCCTGGCAGGTGGTCTGTCCTGAGGAAGCACTGTCGTTCCTCCAGGTAGTTTTGGTCTCCATGAAGACATCATTGACCAGTGGCAAGTCCTGCCCTTCCTGGGTTCTAAGGCGACTGCCCAGTGACTGCAGGGAGACTGGCTTAGAGCAGACACATACACAAATAGAGGCAGAGCTGCAAAGCTTTGCGCTCTTAGTTTGTTCACAGGCCCAACAAAAGCGGCTCTGTGTGTGTGTGTGTGTGTGTGTGTGTGTGTGTGTAAAATATGTATGCATAGACTCATTATATAGCATCCTTCTTGTTCCTGTGGCTTCTGATGAACCAACCCATAGAAGTTTCACTGTTGTGCACATCCATGAGCACTGGATCCTGAAGTGATTCCCACATTATTAGTTTCACGCCGCAATACCAAATTATTCGCTAACTGGGTTCCTACAGCAGGGCACTGGTGGCTCACTCCTGTAATCCTAACTACTCAGGAAGCTGAGATCTGAAGATCATGGTTCAAAACCAGCGCAGGTAGGAAAGTCGGAGTCTCTTATTGCCAATTAACCACCAAAAAGCCGAAAGTGGAGCTGTGACTCAAGTGGTAGAATGCTAACTTGGGGTGGGACAGGGGATGGGGGGAGACAACACTCAGGCCTAATTCAAGCTCCAATAGTGGCACACATATGCACACACACGAATCCCACAAAATGTATCTACCTGCTGGGGGAAATGGCATGTCCAGAGGCCGTAGGATGATGGGCATTTCTCCCAACCTTGCGCAGCCAACAGCAGGAAAGGAGAGAGACAACCCTGAAGCCTGCCGGGCTTTCTGGTCAAGGTTGTCACTCTGTCCTTTTTCCTGAGACATCACCCAGGGCTAAGTCACCCACCAGGCTCCCAGCCATGCGTCACCCACACCTCGGCCTGTGTGAGGTCACTGGAACACCTCCAAGCTCAGGAGACAGTCTCTGGGGAGACTGGGCTTGACCGCTCCTCATCTTGCTCACCCAGGATGTCTGCAGGGAAGAAAAACTCCAAACAGTCCAGCCATTTTCCTTGGGAACCAGAGTGGGAGGAAAACCAATGGGAGGCTTGGTCGAATGGAGCCTGGAGCAGGAGGGGGCTGTGGGGGGAGCTGGAAACATAAGTCACCAGTCACCTTGGGGTTCAGACTTGTGCCCGCCCGAGGCTTTTCTTGCTGAATTGTAGCAATGTGGAGAAAGGTAGAAATTTCCAACACTGTGGACCCGGTTCTTCCACTTCCAGCTGGGTGGCTTTGGGCGGGTGACATCACCTCTCTGAGCATCTATTGGCCCATTTGTAAGTGGAGGGCCATACTGTCCCCTGAACGGCTTGGGTGCTTTAGCTCTGGCTGACTGCCTGGAGCATAGAGAGAATGCCACAAACAAGTCAATAATCCTTTTAAACTTGGGGATACATTTCCGAATTGGTAGATTAGGCTTTGCTTTCTCAATTAAAGCTCTTTTCTTCTGGGCAGATATGTTTTGTTTCCTTTTATTTTTGGGGGGTCTGGTCGTGGGGCCTGAACTCTAGGCTTGGGCGCTGTCCCTCAGCTCTTCAGCTCAAGGCTAGTGCCCTACCACTTGAGCCACAGCACCACTTCTGGCTTTTTTCTTTTTTGCTTATGTGGTGCTGAGGAATCGAACCCAGGACCTCATGCATGCAAGGCAAGCGCTCTACCACTGAGCCACCTTCCCAGCCTGGGCAGATATGTTTTTAGATGAAGCAGCCATGGCTTGGAGTGGGAGGAAAACACAGCAAGCTTAGCTTCCTTTTTATTTTGTTTTACTCTGCTTTGAGATGGGGTCTTCTTGTGTATTCCAGGCTATCCTCCAGCTCAGGCCTCCTGCCTCAGCCTCCTCTATGTTGAGAGTACAGGTGGGCCCCACTACACCTGACTCAAATTTAGCTTTTTAATGTTTGAAAAATCTAATCAAAAGATACAGACTGAACTTCCCTGGCAAGGCCCTGAGCCCAGCTGAAGAAAAGAAGGGAATCATGACACTGATGCTTGATGCCTTTCAGCTTTTTCCTAGGCTCCCAGGGCTGGTCACTGTATGGGGAAAGAAGTCTAAGACTCAGGGAAGGAAGGGGGTTCACTCCAGGCTGCACAGCAAATCTTGAGTAGAACAGACATTAAAGCTCAGGTTGCTCTGGGTGCTGGTGGCTCACACCTGTAATCCTAGCTACTCAGGGGACTGAGATGTGAAGGTGGCAGTTCAATGCCAGCCTGGGCAGGGAAGTCTGTAAGACTCTTATCTCCAACTAACTGCCAGAAAGTGTCACTGGGGCTCAAAGTGGCTGAGCACTAGCCTTGAGCAAAAAGAGTGAGTTCAGGGACAGTGCCAGGCTCTGAGTTCAAGCCCCATGACTGACAAAAACAAGCAAAAACAGGTTGTTTTGTCAGACTCCATCTCAACTAATGACTGGGTGTGGTGACACACATCTGACACACATCTCCAGTGACACAGGGAAGCACAAACAGGAGGATCACAACCCAAGAAATAAAAGGAGATCCTACTTTGGGAATAACTACTGCAAAAATAACCATTGCACTATGGTCCTTGTGGTAGAGTACATGTCTAGCAAGAGCAAGGTCCTAAATTCAATCTCCAGTCCTGCCAAAAAGGAAAATAAAGATAGCCAGGCGCCGGTGGCTCACGCCTGTAATCCTAGCTACTCAGGAGGCTGAGATCTGAGGAGAGCAGTTTAAAGCCAGCCTGGGCAGGAAAGTCCATGAGACTCATCTCCAATAAACCACTAGAAAACCGGAAGTGGCGCTGTGGCTCAAGCGGTAGAGCGCTCGCCTTGAGCTGAAGAGCACAAAGACAGTGCCCAAGCCCAGAGTTCAAGCCCCACGACCAACCAAAAAAGAAAAAGAAAGATGTTCTGGGAGTGGAACATCGATGGAACATCGTTGAACGTATATTAAATTGAGAACCATGAAAACTCATAGGCAAGCATGATTGAAACTTTTTTTGTTGTTGTTGGTCATGGGGCTTGAACTCTGGGCCTGGGTGCTGTCCCTGAGGTCTTTAGCTCAAGGCAAGGGCTCGACCACTTGAGTCACAGCATCACTTCCAGTTTTCAGATGGTTAATTAGAGATAAGAGTGTCATGGATTTTCCTGCCTGGGCTGGATCCTCAGATCTCAGCCTCCTGAGTAGCTAGGATTACAAATGTGAGCCACTGGCACCCAGTCATCGCTTTTTCTTTTTGGCCATGGGACTTGAATTCAGGGCATGATAGTTAATTGGAGATAAGAGTCTTACAGATTTTTCTGCCCAGGCTGGCTTTGAACCATGATTTGCAGATCTTAGCCTCCCAAGTTGTTAGGATTACATGCGTGAGCCATAGGACCTGGCTACTTTTCTTATTATTTATTTGAATTTTCCATATTTCCTAGCGTGAGCATGAGGGACCAAAAAACCCCTACCCTCTTTGAGCTGGACACTAGTTGCTACTCCTAGATACTCAGAGGGGCGAGATCTGAGGATGGAGGTTTGAAGCCAGCCTGGACAGGAAAGTCTGTGAAACTCTTAATCTCCAATTAACCACCAGAAAACCAGAAGTGGAGCTGTGGCTCAAGTGCTAGAGCACTAGCCTTAGGCAAAAAAGTTCAAGGACAGTGCCCAGGCCCTGAGTTCAAGCCCCACAACTGGCCAAAAATAAAATATAAAGCATGAACTAGAAAAAAAGAGAAGGAATGAGAAGCTGACCTGATACTCCGTAGAGCAATGCATGGAGTCATGATCTGATGCTTTTTCCTGTGTCCTCCCGCCACACCCTGTGCCCAGCTGGGCTTGGTTGAGCTTCCCTGCCTGAGTAAACAGAAGGAAGCTTTCTGGTGCACAGTTTACAGCGCTGATTTCACGTCGTTGTCTCAAATCCGTGGTAGTTCCAACAGCTATGACTCTGTCCTCTGGGAATTGTGGGGGTGGGGATGCCCCTCTCTCCCCCATCTCCTCCCATTTGAGAAGGGCAGGTTTATAATATTACAGTCAGCATTGAGCAGCAGCAGCCTTTTTATTCTTATAATTCCAACCTTCAGATTCATCTTGCTAAAACCTAACTTTATCTTTTTTTTCTTCTTCTTCTTTTTGAAGTCCCAGAAGCATCCATGTCAGCGAGCGGATAGCGATCTCGTTTATTTGGCCTTCTCTCCAGTCATGCATTCTTCCAGTCTTGGTAACCAGAATGTTTTGTCTGTTCAGCCTCAAAAACGATCAGTGGGACGGGAACCAGAGTTCAGTATTTCATGATGCGTCAAAATGAGCCTGGGAAAGCTGAGCTGCGGCCTGTATGGCTTCTCTGAATCCACTGGTACTTCTTTTCATCTCTAGTTTTCAAAGTTCCCTGGAAGCAACCTGATAGTCCACAATCTGCTCTGATCAGAGATTGGGGGAGGGAGGGGATTTTGAAGTGTTCATTCCATCGGGAGCCCAAAATGCCAAAAACATGAACCCCAGGTTGTCTCCCTTTGTGATATCCTGACGATTATCTAACAAACTTCAGCTTGTGTTCCTGGGGCCTGGGCTCTCTGCTGGATGGACAAAGGTTCCAGAGCAGTGAGCCTAGTGGCGCTCACTGCCTCCATATTCTTCAGCCTCATCCTGAGGTCTGTCCTCTGCTGCTTGGCTCTCACCCTCGAGAAGCAGAAGTGATGACTTTGCTCTGGGGACCAAGCAAGCAGAAACCCTGAGTGCAGCTGTCTGTAGAGAGAGCGAGCCTCCTAGCATGTCTCCACCCAACCAGTCAGTAGAAGGCCTTCTCCAGGAGGTCTCCAACAGATCCCTGAACACGACGGGGACCCCAGAGGCTTGGGATCCAGAGACCCTCCAGGTACTGAAGATCTCCCTGGCCGTGGTCCTGTCCATCGTCACCCTGGCCACTGTCCTCTCCAATGCCTTTGTTCTGACCACCATCTTGCTCACCAGGAAGCTCCACACTCCAGCCAATTATCTCATTGGCTCCTTGGCCACCACCGACCTCCTGGTTTCCATCTTGGTCATGCCCATCAGTATTGCCTACACTACCACTCACACTTGGAACTTCGGCCAAATCCTCTGTGACATCTGGGTGTCTTCTGACATGACGTGCTGCACAGCCTCCATCCTGCATCTCTGTGTCATCGCTCTGGATAGATACTGGGCCATCACAGACGCCCTGGAGTACAGCAAGCGCAGGACGGCAGGCCACGCAGCCTTGATGATCGCCGTGGTCTGGGTCATCTCCATCTGTATCTCCATCCCACCGCTCTTCTGGAGGCAGGCTAAGGCTCAGGAGGAGATCTCAGACTGCCTGGTGAATACTTCCCAGATCTCCTACACCATCTACTCCACCTGTGGGGCCTTCTACATCCCATCCCTCTTGCTCATCATCCTCTATGGCCGAATCTACGTAGTGGCCCGGAGCCGAATCCTGAATCCGCCCTCTCTCTATGGGAAGCGCTTTACCACGGCCCATCTCATCACAGGCTCTGCGGGGTCTTCCCTCTGCTCACTCAATCCCAGTCTCCACGAAGGCCACTCACACACAGCTGGCTCTCCTCTCTTTTTCAACCATGTGAAAATCAAGCTGGCTGATAGCATCCTGGAACGCAAGAGGATCTCTGCTGCTCGGGAAAGGAAAGCCACGAAGACCCTGGGGATCATTCTGGGAGCTTTTATCATCTGCTGGCTGCCCTTCTTTGTGGCATCCTTGGTCCTACCCATCTGCAGGGACTCCTGCTGGATCCACCCAGCTCTCTTTGACTTCTTTACTTGGCTAGGCTATTTAAACTCCCTCATCAATCCTATAATCTATACTGTGTTCAATGAAGACTTCCGGCAAGCATTTCAGAAGGTTGTTCATTTCCGGAAAGCCTCTTAGTCTTATTTTGTGGTGAATCACTTTATCTCTTGGGTCCTATAACTCCAACTTGGATTCTCTCTCTCTCTCTCTCTCTCTCTCCCCCTCTCCCCCCTCCCTCTCTTTCTTTCTTCCTCACCCTCCCTCTCTCTTTCCCCCTTCCTCTCTCTATCTCTCTCTCTTTCCTGAGACCTGGGTGAATTTATGGTATCTTGAGTCTTGGGCCAATCAACAGAATTATGTGTTTGGCGGCCCTGATCCTCTTGCTGACTGAGCCTCTCAAAGCTGGGCCACTTGCTGTGTGGAAGAGGACGGGCCTGCTGACTGCCATTAACATAACCTTTTCCTGGTTCCTCTCCATGGAAGAAACACGACTGACAGGATTCAGGTGAGGAAAAAGTTCCACCCTGTATAAAAGATTCTGACTCAGAGGGAAGGCCTTCTAGGTTTACCTGAGATTTATACATACAACTCATGACCTGAATTGAAAGAGAATTTAATTTTGATTCGAAAATAACACCAGCCAGGTGCGGGGTATCATGCCTATATTCCTAACTACTCAGGAGGCTGAGATCTGAGGATCGCTGTTCAAAGCCAGCCTGGGCAGGAAAGTCCATGAGACTCTTATCTCCAATGAACCACCAGAAAATCAGAAGTGGCGCTGTGGCTCAGGTGGTAGAGCGCTTGCCTTGAGCTGTAGAGCTCAGGGACAGTGTCCAGGCCCAGAGTTCAAGCCCCACAACCAACCAAAAGAAGAAAGAAAGAAAAAAAAAATAACAAGATTTCTCTCACTGGGTCCTCCTTGCCTAGAATAGTGACTTAGGGAGAAATACCGAAGGTGGGAAAAAGGAATGAGATGATTAGAACCAGACCAATCACCACCTACCCTTCCTTCCCAACATGCCTACACCGTCTTTATAAGGTTAAAACCATGATCCCTGACTCTAATAGATTAACAGGTATTGAACTCACCAAACTTTGAGTGGGCCACCATGGGGAATTTTTTTTCTGAACTATTTTTTTATATCCCATTCTCATTAGCGTTCTTAAGATGCTGAGTCTTATCAAATAAAATGCATGAGACGTCACAATCAGCAAAAGTGTTTGGGTGAACTTTTTTTCCCTCTCTCTACCTAAGTGTAGAGACTTGCAGCTCAACTTGGTCTCCAGCATTTTCTCAGCACGTACCCGACCTTGTACCTGAGACTTGCAACTATTACAGTGAGCCTCAAACAAGGCTGTCAATGTAGCATGACAATTAAAAACTCAAACTGGCTAGGTGCCGTGGCTCACCCTTGTAATCCTAGCTACTCAACAGGATGAGATCTGAGGACTGCAGTTCAAAGCCAGTCTGGGCAGGGTGCCACTGGCTAACACCTGTAGTCCTAGCTACTCAGGAGGCTGAGATCTGAGGATCATGGTTCAAAGCCAACCTGGGCAGAGAAGTCCATGAGACCCTTATCTCCAATTAACCACCAGAAAACCGTAAGTGGAGCTGTGGCTCAAGTGATAGAGTGCTCGCCTTGAGTTCAAGAGCCCAGGGATAGAACCTAGGCCCAGAGTTCAAGCCCCACAACCAAAAAAAAAAAAAAAAAGCCAGCCTGGGCAAAATGTCTATGAGCATCTTATCACCAATACCCAGAAAAGGCTGGAAGTGGCTTAAGTGGTAGAGCACTAATCTTGAGGAAAAGAAGTTCAAGGATGGAGCCCAGGCCTAGTTCAAGCCCAGGATGTGGGCAAACAAACAACAACAACAAAAAGAACTCAAGCCAGCCAGATGTTGGTGGCTCACGCTTGTAATCCTAGCTACTTAGGAGGCTGAGATCTGAGGATCACAGTTTGAAACCAGCCTGGGCAGAAGTCTGGGAGACTCAAGCAGCAAAAAAAGTCAGAAATGAGGTCTAGCTCAAGTGGTTAAACTTGAGTGAAAAAGCCAAATGAGAGCGTGAGGCCCTGAAATCAAGCCCCGGTACCAGCCCAAACAAACAAAAACTCAGGACCTGGGGCTGGCGATGTAGTTCTTGGCAGAGGGCTTGCCTGGCATGAACTCAGGCCTGGGTTTTTCATCTCTAGCTTTAGGGGAGGGAGGAGGAAGAGGAGTGGGAACTCCCAGAGACCAGTGTTTCAGTTCAAATCCAAATGCTGCCAGTTTGTAGCTAGGTGACCCAGGGCTTCTTTCTTTCTTCTTTCCTTCCTTCCCGCCCCCTCTCTTTCTATCAGTCATAGGGCTTGAACTCAAGGCCATGGCACTGTCCTTGAGCTTCTTTTTACTCAAGGCTAATACTCTACCACTTGAGCCACAGCACCACTTCTGGCTTTTTCTAAGTAGTTATTGGAGTTAAGAGTCTCATGGACTTTCCTGCCTGGGTTGGGTTTGAACTGTGAGCCTCAGATCTCAGCCTCCTGAGTAGCTAGGATTACAGGCGTGAGCCACCGGTGCCTGGCTGATTTCTACATCTCTAATTTGAGACCTACTGAGTTAGTTCTTGCTGTGAGGCCTCTCCCTGAGCCCAGTATGTGCCCAACTCCCAGCATCCTCCTATGATCCCTGTCCAGCGTCTAGCTACAGTACATTGTATGTATACATTCATCAACTGACAGATTGAATTATTTCCATTTTTTTTTGCTATTATAAATAATTCTGTGAGTCAAACACTGGTGGCTCAGACCTGTAGTCCTAGTTGCTCAGGAGGCTGAGATCCAGAAGATTGTGATTCAAAGATAACTCCAGCCAGGCACTGGTGGCTCATGCCTGTAATCGTAACTACTAAAGAGGCTGAGATCTGAGGATCATGGTTCAAAGCCAGCCCAGGCAGGAAAGTCCATGAGACTCTTATCTTCAATAAACCACCTGAAAACCAAAAGTGGTGCTGTAGCTCAAGAGGTAGAACTCAGGCCCAGAGTTCAAGGCCCACAACTGACCAAAACAAACAACAACAACAACAAACTCCAACAGAAAAGTCTGTGAGTCTCCATTTCCAATTAAACCAGAAAGAAAACCTGAGCTGGAGGCATGGCTCAAATGGTAGAGTGCCATCCATGAGCAAGAAAGCCAAGTGAGAGCATGAGGCTCTGAGTTCAAACTCCAGTATTGGCAGAAACTAACACTCCAATGAACATTCTGGTTTGTGTTTGCATGGAGGAGACATTTTCATTTAGCTCAGGAAATGTATCCATGGAGTGGACTCACTGCATGATTTTCTTTCTCTATTTGGCCTGAAGAAATGCTGTTTTTCAAAGTGGCCACACTAGCTTTCCTTCCCATTAGCAGTATGTAACAGTCCCAATTTGTTCATGTCCTTCTTGTTGTCTTTTTTTAAATTATTGTTATTATTATAGTCATTCTAGTGGGTGGAATGTGGTATTTCCTTGAATGGCCAACTTTTTTAAAAGGGCCAGACGGTAAATATTCTCAGCTTTACGAGTCATACCATCTCTGCAATTGCTCAACTCTGCCAAGAAGCATGAAAGCAAGCCCCAGACAGCATGTAAATACATGAGGCATGGCTGGGTTCTGAGGAAGTTTTACTTAATGAAAAGTAGCTGCTGGAGGGGTCACAGTGTGTAAAATCTGATCTGGATGAGCGGCCACTGCCCACTCCATCCACTCCTTCTGCATTCCTTTTCCACCTTTATTTTTAGGTTTTTTGTTGTTGTTGGTGGTGGTGGTGGTGGTTTTTTTTTTTTTTTTTTTTTTGGCTGTTGTTGTTCAAGATCAGAACTTAAAGTTGGTATCTGATTCTTTCACTCATTGGCCGGCACTCTACTACCTGAGCCATGCCTCTAACCCCTAGTTTTAATTTTTGGAGATTAAGTCTCCCTGTGTAGCCGAAGCTGGCTTTGATTTTGCAATCTTCTGCTTCTGCGTCCTGAATGCCGAGAAATGAGTCGAGCTTAATGTGTGTGTGTGTGTGTGTGTGTATGTGTGTGTGTGTGTGTACACATGCGCATGCACTTAGACTCAGGGCTTAGGTGCCGTCCTTGAGCCTTTTGGTTCAACTGTCCTATTGCTACTTGAGCCACAGCTCCATTTCCGGATTTTTGGTAGTTAATTGAAGATAAGCATTTTATGAATGAGCTGGCAAGGTGGCTCAGTGGTAGAGTGCTTGCCTTGCATGCATGAGACCCTTGGTTCGATTCCTTAGCACCACATAAACAGAAAAAGCTGGAAGTGGCGCTGTGGCTCAAGTGGTAGAGTGCTAGCCTTGAACTGAAGAGCTGAGGGACAGTGCTCAGGCCCAGAGTTCAGGCCCCATGACCGGCAAAAAAAAAAAAAAAAAATTCATGAAGCCGAAGCCCTGGGTTCGATTCCTCAGTACCACATATACAGAAAAAGCCAGAAGTGGTGCTGTAGCTTAAGTGGTAGAGTGCTAGCCTTGAGCAAAAGGAGCTCAGGGACAGTGCTCAGGCCCTGAGTTCAAGCCCCAAGACTGTCAGGAAAAAAAAGAAAGACCAAGTCTTGGGATGTGGCCTCAAATTTCTGGTGTTAAGCAACCCTCCTGCCTCAACCTCCAAAGTGGCTAGAATGACAGGTATGCACAGCTCTGCTTGGCTTCCCTAGTACATGCGAGGCAAGCACTGCTAAACTACACCAAAGCCCAGCAGGGCAGTTTAAAAGCAGCAGTTCCTGGGCCTCAGGACATGAATCCTGGTGCTGAATAGCTGGGCACTGTTCACACAGCACAGTACCCATCAGCCCCATCGCTTTCACAGCCCATCGCCTTGGCACAGCTAAGCACGCCGCCACTCTCACGGTCTCACCCATCTTTGTGTTCCTGGTACCTGGTGCCGAGCCTGCATTCCACTAATGATAATAGCAGCATTTATTGGGCTCTGACTATGTACCCAGGAATGCCCTAAGCATTTTATGAGGGTTTATGCCACCCACATGAAATTGTTCCTATCATCATTCTTTAGATAAGAAGCTGGAAGTCTGAAGAAATGAAATCATTTGTCCATACAGCTTGTACATGGTCAGGCCAGAATTCCAGCCAGACAGCTCTGCCTAGAATCTACACTCTGAACATCTAGAGGATGGGGCCAGGTTCCAGCTGCCACATGGCTGAGTGGCTTGTTAAGGCATCGGGGAGATACTGGCTGGGAATTAGGGAGACTGAGCCGTTCCACGTGGGTAACAATGCCAGCCTCAGCGGGTGCTTAGGGACGAGGACTGTCCCCAAGGAACTCATTAATTAAGAATCAGACAGAGTCTGTAATCTCCCAGACTGCAGGATGAGCCTGGAAGTTAGGTTTGGCCCCTGGGTCAGCCTCTGACCCTCTCCCTGCTCTGGACTCATTTTTTAATTTTTATTTTTTGGTTGGTCGTGGGGCCAGGGCGCTGTCCCTCAACTCTTCAGCTCAAAGCTAGCGCTCTACCAGTTGAGCCACAATGCCACTTCTGGCTTTTTCTGCTTATGTAGTACTGAGGAATTGAACCCAGGGTCTCATGCAGGCAAGGCAAGCGCTCTACCATTGACCCATCTTCCCATACAGATTTTTGTCTCCATACAGATGCTGGATTCTTGCAGGGCTCACAGTCC